GAGGCAGAGACTGAGGTGACACAGGCACAGGGAGAGCCAGGAGCTGGACAAGGCAGGAGGGGTCCTCCCTGGAGCCTTGGGGACCAGCACCCAGAACATGCTGACCTTGGACCTGCATTGGTTACAGGTCACTGGTTGTGGCCTGGGGACACTGACTCCCTTCCTCCCCTCGGGGGCTCTCTCCTCAGTTCCCCCTGCTCTACCCTTGACCAGTCACTCTCCTAGGCCACACTGGATCCATGCATCCCGCTGCTGTCTCCCTCCCCTTGCGCTCTCCTCGGCCCTTGCACTCTCCTTGGCCCTGGGCTCCTTCACCTTTGTCCTTCTGCTGCCATTGAAGTGGCACCTGGGGGAGAGGAGCCATGCAGGGCTGTTTAACTGACTGGTTTTATCCTGCTCCCTCCCTGCATCATGGTCCCTGCGGACACGGAGAGGGCTGTTGGCTTTGCGCTGCTTGCTCCCATCCAAGGTCCTTGGATGAGGTCCCCGCCTGCCCCACTTACTTAGACCATGGCTGGGTTGCCGTAACCAGTGACCCCCATGGGGGAGCTTAAAACAATAAGTTTATTCTCTTGCAGTTCTGGAGCCCAGTGTCCTAGGGCCCTGCTCCTTCCTCTCCTCCCCAAGGCTCTGAAAAAGCTTGCATTCACGTATGTGGGCTTAGGACTTGGACCTACTTTTTGGGAACCACCATTCAGCTTATTACAGAGAGGTTTGAGAGGCTGGGTCATGGCACAGGCTTGAGTAAAGGGACTCATGTGAGTCTGGATAGAGAGCTGCTGGGTCCCCAGGGCGTCCTTGACCTCCTGCAGCTGGTGAACACTCTGTTCATCAGCCCCGCCACAGGATGTGGTCAGCTGGCTCTCTGGGCGCCCCCCTTCCCTGTGCCATGTGGGCGGCTGAACCCCTGCCATGTGACTGGCCTGAATTGAGATCCACCACAGACATAATGCACAGTGGATTACAAAGCTTAGTACAAAAAAAGAATGTAAAATATCTCATTAATCATCGTATGTTATACGGGACTACAGGTCGAAATAGTAACATTCTGGATTGATAAGAGTTAAATAAAATATGTTATTGGGGCGCCTGGCTGGCTCAGTCGGTGGAGCGTGCAACTCTTGATCTTGGGGTCATGAGTTCAAGTGCCATGGTGGGTGTGGAGGATACTCAAAAAAAAAAAACCCCATATATACATACAAAATTAAAATTAACTTTACCTGCTTCTTTTCGCTTTTTTACTACCGCCACTACAAAATTTAACATCACATATGGGGCTCACATCCTATTTTGATTGGACAACATTGCCCTGGAGAGAGACTGGGCATGTAGGTGTGTGCAGGTATGCAGAGACAGGTGACTTTCCCCAGTCTCCATCATCTGTTCTTTTTGAAAAAAGAATTTTAGTGCAAATTATACATATAACAAAACTCACTTATTTTAAAGGTAACGCTAAAAGTGAGTTATTGAAATAAATCTCCACGGGGGAACCTGGCTGGCTAAGTTGGTATAGTGTGTGACTCCTGATTTCGGGGTCATGAGTTCAAGTCCCACACTGGCCATGGAGCCTACTTTAAATAAATAAACTAACTTAAGAAAAAGAAAGAGATGAGATAAATGTCTGCACATTGAATTGTGGGACTCTGAGGGTTCCGCCAGCTTCCAGAAAGGAGAAGCCCCAGGTAGGAGGTAGGAGAAGGGTGGGAGCTTCTTTAGCCTTGGGGAAAAACAAGAGCCTCCTGTCCCCCATCTGTCAAAACAAGTTCCCCTCATCCACATACAGAGCTTCTCACCCTTGACTGTCTCATGCTTAATATGAAGGCTAAGCTTAGGATCTCTAGACATGGGAGCCTCTGACAGAAATCTGCACAAACAGAAAAACGCAGAGAGACAAAGGAAAAGCTCTAAAGCATCTTAGTTCCTACTCCCAGAAAGACAAGAAAACCTTTGTGTCCGCAAGGTGAAAACATGGATGTTATGAGAAAAGGAAAAATCAACAAGGAAGAAGTTGCTCTTGAAGGATGAAAACGAGGATTTTCCAAATAATTAAATCAGGAAAGCTGAAAGGCAAGGTTTAAGCAATTGCCCAGAAAGTAGGGCAAAAAGACAAAGAGATGAAAAAGAGAGAGAGAGAGAGAGAAAGAAAACATGGCCTTTGAGGTCAATCCAATGAAAAGCAAGTGCAGAGAGTCAGACTAAAAAAAACGGGAAGATAGTCTGGGAAGGTGCCACAGTCAAGGGCATCTGTCTGTCTCAAGACAGCGCACCAGAGAGGGCCTGGTGTCTCGTCAAGTGTCAGAACCCCATGGATGCGGAGAAGATTCTAGAAGTGTCCACGGAGGAAAAACCTGGTCAATGGGAAAGACTGAGACTCTCCTCAGAGAACTGAATGCTGGCTGCCAAAAATAGAGGAGCAAGCCTTCACATCTCTGAGTGAAAATAATTTCCAATGAAAATTGTCCGTCTAGCTCAAATGTGAACCTGCCTGAAGCAAAGAACAAAGACATTTTTCAGTCACGTGAAGGCTTACGAGGATTATCTTCCGTGCTTCAGGAAGCACCTAGTAGCCTGACAGGCTTGGGGGAAACACGGGGATCAAGGTCGATTGAAGCTGCTGTAGGAAGTGGAGAGCGAGGCTCTCATCCAGAAGCGGACTGGGAGGAGTTCCCGGAGTCCCAGGAAGGCATCCTCCTGGACTCACCGCATCCTGTCCCAGCCCACATCCCTCGGGAGCATCCTAGGCCAGCCCTCCTCCCCGCTAGGCCCACACCTGGGCTGCACCAGCCGCGCACCTGCGCTCCCTGCGCCCGCGGCTGCCCTCTACCGCCCGTTCTCCTGCCTGCACCCAGGACGGGAATTCCAAAACGAGACTCCTCAGCCTGCCTCATTTCTTTTTTTTTGAAGATTTTTATGTATTTATTTGAGAGAGAGCGAGGGCGCGCGCACGCGCGAGCGGGGGGAGGGCAGAGGGAGACAAGAAGAGAACAGAGAATCTCCAGCTGCCTCCCGGCCGGCCAGCGCGAAACCCCACCCAGAGCCCTGTCCCACGACCCTGAGATCACGACCCCAGCCGAAATCAAGAGTCCCACGCTCAACCGACTGAGCCACGCAGGCGCCCACTGCCCAATTTTTCTTACTACTCTTTGCCATCGGACCTCTCGCGCCTGTGCTTCATTTGTGCCCCTGATTTGTGAGCCGGCACTTGATCGGCTTCATTCTCCGCACTGGAGGAGTGCTTGCTGTACGCAGCACGCATTTATTTTTTTATTTTATTTTATTTATTTTATTTTTTAAAGGGTTTATCTATTTGACAGAGAGAGACACAGCGAGAGAGGGAACACAAGCAGGGGGAGTGGGAGAGGGAGAAGCAGGCTCTCCGTCGAGCAGGGAGCCCGATGCGGAGCCCAATGCGGGGCTCGATCCCAGGACCCCGGGATCACGACCCGACGCCCAACGACTGAGCCACCCAGGCGCCCCACGTAGCACGCATTTAATTAGTGCATGCTGAGCTAATGCATGCTTCCCAGATTTCCCCGCAAGGGCAGTCGAGGCGGAACCGGCACCTCCCTGAGGTCTTCGCAGATCACTCCCGACGCTGCCCACCGCACGTGTGCCAGGGTGAAAAGCAGCCCTTGGAAAGTGGCCAAGGAACTGGATTTCCGCCAATTTTCACGGCCACTTGCGGCTGGCGACCCCCGCGTGGAACGCTTGCGGCGCCTACCCCTGTCGGGCCCGCCCGCTCCAGGGCCCCACCCACCCAGGGCCACGCCCCCCGCTCAGCGCAGGCGCAGATGTAGATGCGGCCGCCCGCCCCACGCCTCTTCCGGGTCCCGGGCTTCGCGGCAGATTCGTCGCGATCTGCCCGCGGGGACCGACCCCACAGATTCGAGAAATTCAGCGGCAGCTCTGCCAGCGCGCGGGGAGCTCGTGCTCCGTGGTCTCACGCTTTAGTCCGCGAACCGCGTGCGGAGCTGGGCCTCGGCGGCCGGGGCGAATCGGCGGAGGGGTGGTAGCGGCGGGGCCGCCCGTGAGCGCGCCGGGGAGACTCCGGGACCGAGCGGGTGCGCGCCTCCCCGAGACCCCCGACCCGTCGGTCCCCAGGCCCGTGCACGCCCCGAGACCCCCGCCCGCCCCGAGGCCCTCTCCCGTGCCCAGACCTCCGCCCGTCCCGCAGACCCTCTCCCGTCCCCCGAGACCCCCGCTCGCCCCGAGACCCTTTCCCGTCCCCAGACCTTCGCCCGCCCCGGAGACCCCCTCCCATCCCCCGAGGTCCCCTGCCCGCCCCACGAGGCCCCTGCCCGCCGCACCACCATGTGGACTCCCGGCGCACGCTGGGCAAGGAAGCGTGGGACGGGTTGGTCGCTGGCATGTTATCCGGCCTGCGCATCCGAGCCCGCGTGGACCCGGCTGCGTGGGGAGGCGGCGCGTGGGGATCCTTCTTGGGCCCCTGATGCAGCCTTATTTAATGGCTGGATGCACTGGTGATAGGTGCCTACCTAATGGTACTCAACCCTGCAGGGGCACCTGACCCCAAATACGAGCACAGATGATTTTGGTTTCTGGGAGAGAAGGGAGTTTGGCAGATGGATGATGCCTCAGGGAGTTAGAAGTGATAGGACGCCTGTAGTCCAGTGTCTCCAAGCCCCAGTACTGCTGACATCTGGGTTTGGATAAGCCTCTGCCCTGGGCGCTGTCCTCTACATAGGGGATATTTGCCAGCATGCCTGGCTTCTACCACCCACTCACTAGATGCCAATAAATAGCACCCCCACTTGTGACCCTGGGGCACAGTGCCCTACGGTAGAGGGTACCAAGCTGTGAACAGACTCTTGGTAGATGCTGGAGGGGAGGATACTGCTGGACAACAGCAGGGGTGAGGAGAGACTGGGGTCCCCAGAAGCTTAACAAGAGGGGCCAGAGTGTGGGGGTTCTGAGACCAGGCCCACGCGGGTGCCAAGGGCTCCGTGGACTTCTCATGTGCTTGTCCTGTGGCCTCCAGGATGGATCCAGTGCAGTCTGCAGTCGCGCTCACTGTCCGGGAAGCACTTCACACCCTTTCCTCTTCTGAGGATGGCGGCCACCTCCTTTCCACCCTGGGGGCCCTGAAGCGGTATCTCAGTGGAGCGGAGAACGCAGCCCTTCCCGGGGAGCAGGAGGAGTTTGCCAGGATGCACTTTTCCGCCGTTCTCCGATGTCTAGTGGGCAGGCTGAGCCCAGGCTGGCTGGAGCTTCTGCCCGACGGCCAGTTGGAGGACCTGTGGGCCAGCTTCTTCCTGGAGGGCCCTGCTGACCAAGCCTTCCTGGTGCTGATGGAGTCCATCGAGGGTGCTGCTGGGTGAGTGGGGTCTGATGATGGGGTCACTTGTAATGTCTGAAGCACAAGTGTGGCCTGAAGGATTGCGAACGGGCAGGATCTCCAGCTTGTGTGAGAATGTGGTGTCCTGAAAGGTGAGAGAAAAGAGCATGCGCCCAGCAGAGCACCTGCAAAGTTGAGGCGGTCTGTGTTGATCTCCTTTGCAGTGAAGAGGCCCTTGCCCTAGGTCCTGCCATGCTGGCGAAGGGAGGGAGTGAGAGCATTCCCATCCCAGTGGCTTAGCCAGTGGGTTGGCTCCAGACTGGGGTGACATCGGTAGGCAGTGGGCATTGCCATCCTCGTGGGGCCCTTTGCTTCACTCTGTGGCTCTCAGCTCTGCAGGGAGGCCCCTCCCTGGGCCCCACAGCACACTCGTGGGGACACCTTGCTCAAGGTGGTTCCTGGACTCAGTGTCAGAGCACGAGACAGTCCTGCCACGTGCCTCCTGGCTGTGGCGAAGCTGGGTTTCAGCAGAGTCGGTGTGGAGTGGGAGAAGACAGTGGCAGCATCCAGTGACTCCATGGTGAGGAAGCTGCTCTGAGCCCCACTAGGGACTGGCTGTCTGGCAGTGGGATTTAGATACTTGTTGTCAGGTGCCGATTAAGCTATGGGATTACTTGCTCTTGCTTTGGGCTGGGGACGCCGAGGGTGGGGGCTCGCGGCTCTGCCCTTCACACCTGCTCTTGCTTCAGCCCGAGCTTCCGTCTGATGAAGATGGCGCAGCTGCTGGCCAGGTTCCTGAGTGCGGGCAGGATGGCTGCGGTGATGGAGGGCCAGTGTCGGCAGCTGACGGAGCCGGCCTTCCGCCTGCTCCAGGAGACGCTCCTCACCAAGGTGGTGGGCTTGCCCGACCACCTAGGTAACCGTCTGCAGCGGGAGAACCTGGAAGCATTCCTCCCCCAGAATTACTTCCCTCTGCTCGGCGAGGAGATCATGCGGGTGCTGCAGGCGGTGGTGGACTCTCTCCGAGGTGCGGGCCCCTGCACACTGTCCTTCCAGCCATTTTCTCTGGCCACCATCCCGTTCCTCCCTCCTTCTCTCCCTCCCTCCGTCCAGGCTTCTCACGGCCTCGGGGCACTTGGGATTCTCAGGGTGATGCTGTTGGCAGGTCAGATGTTGTCTCCTGTGTGGGGTCGTAGCAACCTGCACGCTGAGCTTCACCCACTTCTTGGCTATTGATCTTGAAGATGGAGCTGACCTTGATTCCTTTAGCTCCTGGTTGGACCCATCGGTGAAGCCATCCAGATGGGGCTGCTCACAACCGGGGCCTTCACGGAGCGTCTTAGAGACCACATCACTCAGTCTGCTCTGGTCGGGGCCCTGGTGTCTGCACCACCCTCTGCTCTCCCATCATGGGGTGCACACAGGGTCTCGCTGAGGCTGTGGAGTGGGTGCCCTTCATGCGTGTGCTCATGTCGTCCCTGTGCCCGCCCTGCAAGGGAGGCCCCGCCACTGCAGAGGGTCAGGGAGCCAGGGTGAGGCGAGGTACGCCAGCGTCTGCTCAGCCAGGCTGCCCCTCCTCCTGCTCTGTGCTGGGAGAAGCCTCCAGCATGTTCTGAACGTGTCCAGAGCAAATCTAGACCGCGTCTGCTTCTGTTGGGTGGCTGCATCTGGTTCGTCTTTGTAGGAGCTCAGATGCCCCTCTTTAGGTGGCAGATAAACCGTTTCCTCTCGTGCACGTTTTGACTGTCTCGTGGTGGGCACCCCCATCATGGGGCTGGTGGGCCCGTCCTCCCCTCTCCCCATGCCCCGTTTCCTCCCTGCGGGTGGCTCAGACGTGCCCCACAGGGCTCACTGCCCTGGCCTGCCCCTCGGTGCCTCCTCCACCCCGTGCCACCACACGGAGCCGTACTCCGTGGCATCATCACGGGCAATTAAGCAGGCGGAGTGTGAAATTATGGTGGGTGCTTCCAGTGCGGGACGGTGCTACTGAGGTTTCAGTTGGAACTAGACGGAGAGAAACGGTGTTTTTACAAGGCAGAGACGCCGCTGCAGACATGAGGTCTGTTCCCACCTAGTCAGGTGTCTCATGGACTTACCGCTGCCCTGCTTTGAGATCCCGCTTTCCTTCCCGTCCCAGGTGGCTGGGACTGCTCCGTCTCCTTCCTGTCTCAGGTGCTCGGGAAGGCCTGTGTCCACGGCAGACAGAGTGAGTGTTCCCTGTCCCGGGAGGAGCTGCAGTCCTTTGCGGACGTCTCCCCGCCCTTCCTGCGGCCGTCCCGGGCGGGGGCGGGCAGCGCAGTTCCCTTGTGGAGCCTGGGCCCCTCGCCTGGGCCAGGCCCCCCCGGCGGACCCATGGGCTGTAGACGCTGGGTGCTGCGTGGCCCCGAGCTCAGGGCCTCCGTGTCTTCCCCTCAGAGGAGATCTTGGGCGTGCTGGTGCCGCGGCTGACGGTGCTCACCCAGGGCAGCTGCCTCTGGCGGCGCGTGTGCTGGCGACTGGTGGAGTGTGTGCCTGACCGGGCCACGGAGGCTCTGCTAACGGGACTGGTGGAGGCTGCCTCGGGGTAAGGAGCCAGAGGAGCCGGAGGCGGGCCTCCGGGGACAGCAAGTCTCCCGTCCCTCGTACGTGTTGCGAGCCCACGCGGGGAGGCCGTGCCTCCTTTGTCACCCCTGACTAGACGTGGCCAGACCAGGGGAGGGACGTCCGCTAGTGTGGACGTGCTGGGCTGTCCCTGGGAGGAGGGAGCATCAGGTGTGACTCAGAGCTGGGGCGCGGGCCCCAGGCTCCCAGTGCTTAGCGCGGAGCTGGGGACATCTGGAGTTCACGCTCTGCCCTCTCCCCCCGCCTGTGCCTCGCAGGCCTGATGTCCTCTCGCGGCTCCTGGGGAACCTGGTGTTGAAGAGTAAGAAGGCCCAGTTTGTGATGACCCGAAAAATTCTGTTCCTACAGTATCGATACTCGGTGAGACTGGGGTAAGGGGGTGGGCTGAGGGCCACCCCAGGGCCCAGAAGTGACCGTAGCATCTGGAGCTGAGCTCGGTTGCCCAGGAAACACTGCTGACCCTCAGTCTAGACCTGTCTCTGCTCCGGGACCCCTGGGCAGACGGTCCTTGGACCATTACATGGGCAGCTGGTGTCTGCCTGGTCGGCAGTGACCGGACACCCGGCCTTTGTTACAGACGCCCATGCTACAGAGTCTGCTGGGGTACCTGGCCATGGACAGCCAGCGGCGCCCGCTCCTCGGACAGGTAAGCGTATCCGGACCCTCCATCCCTGGTGTGCTGGGACCACCTTCTGCTGGGAAGGGAAGGGAGAAGGCCCCTGCCTGAAGCAGAGGGTGCCAGCTAGAGCGTCTCCCGGGCTGGCAGTGGGCGACGGGTGCCGGCCAGGTCAGCGGCACCATGCAGGGAGGCAGGCGGGGCCGTGTGACCGGCTGCGCTGCCCGCCAGGCACTAAAGGAGCTCCTGGAGACGTGGGGCAGCCCCAGTGCCATCCGCCACGCGCCTTTGCCGCAGCAACGCTACGTCAGCTCGGCCCTGCTCATCTGCCTGGCGCACCTGCAGGACGCGGAGCTCCAAGACAGCCGGGACGGTGAGCAGGCGGGCCCCTGCCCCAGCCCCATGCCTGTCCCCACACGCCGCCGGCGCTCAGCGTGCTGCTGTTGGGGCTTCCAGAGCTGCTGGCTAGCCTCATGGCGGGAGTGAAGACTCGTCTGGACAGCAGCCTGCCCGCCGTGCGCCGCCTGGGCATGATTGTGGCCGGAGTAGCCAGTGCCCGGATCCACCCTGACGGGCCTCCCCTGAAGTTCCAGGTGAACGAGGGCGGCACCCTCAGTGTTGCCCCGCCCCGATGTTACCCCGCCTTCCTGGGTCCAGGCTGCGGCCCCTGCATGCTGGCGTGGAACGGGACCTGGGGGCCCCGCTGAGGGCCGCACCCCGAGGGAGGGGGTGTAGCCCCCAGGTGGATTCCCTAGGGCGTCCAGAAGTGTTCTCTCTGGACAGGCGTCCCCTCTCCTCCACCTGCGGAGCCCCCCAGGATGTCCTCGGGGGATTCCGGTCCCTCGGGAGGATGGGTTTCCCCGGCCTTGCACACCCAGCGCTACCTGCTGCCCTGTAGAGACTCACAAAGTCGTGGGCTGTGCTGGAGGGGGCAGGGGCCGCGGGCCTGCCCCTCCGGCGCACCCCCGGCCGGCTCCAGCCTCTGTGCATTGCAGTACGAAGAGGATGAGCTGAGCCGCGAGCTGCTGGCCCTGGCGGCGCCCCCGCCTGTGGCTGACAGCCCCTCGAAGGCGGAGGCAAGGTGAGGGTCTCCATGCCCCGTGGTCCCTGAGCTCTGGGCGTGATTGCTGGACAGGGCCCATTCCCGCACGTGCGTTTCTCTGTCACCTTGTCCTCCTGGACACCAGTAGCTGAGACACAAACAAAGAAGCGCAGGGTGGGGGCAGGGAGAGCACTTCCCAGGGAAGGTGGCTTCCAGGGCCAGAAGCTTATGTGGGGCCTCCTCGAAGGGCTCCTTCTTTGTTCTCCAAAGCCCGGCTGCAGAGACCCCTGACAGAGGGAGCGTGGACAGTGGTGTCCCCCAGGCCCAGCCGGAGGGCTCGGGCTCTGACCTGGACAGGTAGGGGCTGGTCTCCGGTGGAAACTGCAGACGTGGGGGAGCAGAGCCCTGTGCACATGAGCGTGGGGGCGGACGGCCCGGGCTGTGCGGAGGTTGCGGGTCAGCCTTGCAGCGCCGCTCTCCCCGAGTGCCCTAATAGAAAAAGTCTGCTGTTCCTGAGGCTTCGGGGACTTGGGGTGAATGCCGGTGGCTCAGGAGCACGGCCTGCCTGTTGCCTGCTCCTGGGTGACGGGCCGGCTCCGCGGGTCTCTGCTGCTTCCCCAGTGACGATGAGCTTGTCCCCTATGACATGTCGGGGGACCAAGAGCTGAAGAGTGGGAAGGCACCTGCCTACGTACGGGACTGTGTGGAAGGTGGGTCTCTGCCCCGGCGTGAGCCCCACCAGCGCCTGCCCTGCGGTGGCTGAGCCCCGGGAACTGCCCGTGGCCCGGGACTTGCCTGCCTCGGCCCAGCACCCAGACCCTGGCCATCAGTTTTGCCTCACATGAGGTCAGGGCTGAGGACCAGCATAGGCCCGTCTGTTCTGTGTAGCCCTGACCTCGTCTGAGGACTGGGAGCGCTGGGAAGCAGCCCTGCGAGCCCTCGAGGGGCTGATCGTCAGGAGCCCAGCTGCCGCCCGTGAGGTGAGGGAGGGCTGTGTGTCTGCCCGGGAGGCCTGCGCGCCTGGAGTGGGGGTGGGGCACTGAGGCACGCTGACCCCTGTGTGCAGGTGAGCGTGGAGCTGGCCAAGGTGCTCCTGCACCTGGAGGAGAAGACGAGCGTGGTGGGGTTTGAGGGGCTGCGCCAGCGAGCCCTGGTGGCTGTCGTGGTCACAGACCCGGCCCCGGTGAGTCCCAGGGGTGGTGTGGTGCTGCGGTCCTGCTGCCAGGCAACGTCTGCACGGGGGCCCTAGCCCTGGGTGGTGGCCCACAGTGGCCTCTCGTGTGCCCGGCTCAGGTCGCAGAATATCTGACCTCACAATTCTACGCTCTCAACTTCAGCCTCCGGCAGCGCATAGACATCCTGGACGTGAGTGCCCGGGGCCCTCTGTCCACTCGTCAGGCCCAGGTGCCCTCATGAGGGGAGGGGAACGCATACTTGCCAAAAGCTATGTGGCCAGTACCAGAGGCCTCCCCAGGTCCCTTGTTGCTGGACCTGAGAGGCTGGGGCCGGCACCCATCTGGGGTTGTCTTGACAGCACGTAGGATTCAGTGGAGGCTGCGTGCGTTCTTTACCTTAGACAAAAGCTTTATTGAGATAGAATTCCTACGCACTACGACTTCCCATCTTAAGGTGAGCAAAATGCATTCTGTCCACATGATGGAACGTTACTCAGCCTTATAAAGAAAGGACGTTCTAACATCTGCCACCATGTGGTGGAACTTACCGGACACTGTGCTCAGTGGAAAAGCCGGTCCCGAGAGGAGGGTGGTGTAGGGCTCTGCCTCCATGAGGTCGTTGGGGTCAAAATCAGGAAGTGGACAGTGGGGAGGGCGTGTTTCACGGGGACGGAGCTCCTGTTCGGGAAGACGGAGGGGTTCTGGAGATGATGGTGGTGATGGCCAGGTGAGGTGAACTTGCTGCCGCTGAGCTGTGCACTCACCACGGTCACGGCACCGAACAGGGTCGCTGTCTCCGTGCTTGCCGCTCAGTGGCATTTGGTCCTTGACTGTGTCGTGTGACCTTCAGCATCCTGCATCACCCTCAAAGGAATGGCCCTTGGCACGTACTGCCTGGGCGGGCGCCTGCCGGCACCAGGCTGCCATCTGTGGCCTTGACTATGCCGGGGCGTCCCGCACGCATCCTAGGGCCCATCCATGCACAGCCTGGGCCTGAGCTTCTTCCCTTTTCCCAGGTGTCTGGGCACCAGATTGGGCGAGGTTCTGGAATAGAAGGGGCTCCGGGCACAGGAGCCAGGCTGCTGGGCTGTTGCCAGGGGGCCGTCCAGCTTTCCCTCCTGTCACCCACACAAGTGCGGTGACACTGGGGTACTCGGAACTGACGTTCTGCGTGGTCCCCAGAATGTCCTCTGGCACCACCTGTGGGGCTGATGGCGCCAGTGGGGCAAAGGGCTTGAGGTTACTCAGTTTACCTTGAATTTTGGAAAATGCCATCCTTCCCTAGAGCAACGACAACTGCCCTGGGTCTTTCTTCTCTAGGTCCTGACTCTGGCTGCCCAGGAGCTGTCTCGGCCTGGGCGCCTCCCCAAGGCTCCCCAGTGTGGCTCCCCGAGTCCCGCCTCCCAGCCCAGCAGCACCCAGGCTCCCGCCTGGCGGGCGGTCGTGCAGGAGCGGATCAGAAGCAAAACCCGGCGGTTCTCTCAGGTCAGCTGGGACCCGGCTCGGGTCCTTGGGCCTGAGTGGGTGCTGAGTGGTCAGTGGCCTCTAGGCGCTGCCTGCATGGGTGGGGGTGGCGGTCGAGTCGGGACGGGATGGCGCTGGCACTGGCGTTCTGTGAAGGGAGTTTTGGGTACCAACTGAGTGAGGGACATGTGCTGTAGGGCATCAGAGTGAAGTGGTTTTAAAACGGGACTGCAGAAGTGGGCGTGAAAACGGCCTGAGGAATCCTGCATCAGCAGGAACGGACCTGGTGTGTGCTGGGTCGTCGTGTGCTGGGTCATCGGGGTCCACTCGGGGCTGTCACGGGGGCCGGGAGCTGCTCGCGCCCCACGGCGCACGGGACAGTGCCCACAGTGGGAGTCCTGCCTGGGGGAGGGGCGTGGCACCTTGAGCACCGTGTGTTTGCAGCGCTCTCCCAGGCGGGGGCCGGATGCTGGCCCCAACGAATTCAACTTGGTGGCTGGCTACTTCTTCTTCCCTCTCATTCGGCACTTTGACAGGTGAGCGGGAGGCTTGCATGCTCTCGTGGACAGGAGGCTTCCCAGCGTGGGGTCTGTGGTCCTACAGCAGGGTCATGACCTGGGTTGGGCAGGTGACGCGAGGGTGACAGGCGCCACCGTTTCACAGATGACGGGCTGGAGCTGCACTGTGGTGCCTCGCTGTTCCGCCTGCTCTGCCTCTGTCTGTCTAACACCTTCCCCTCATGACTCTGGGTCATGCATGGGGACAGGCAGTGAGGAGGAGCGTCCGGGGCCCCGGGTGTCCCTCAGTGGCCCAGGGGCTTGGGAGCCAGCTCCAAGTGCCCAGCGTGCACATTCACTGGATTCTCTATTTCAGGCCTCTGGTGACCTTTGACCTTTTGGGAGAGGACCAACTGGTTCTTGGGAGATTGGTCCACACCTTAGGGGCCCTGATGTACCTGGCTGTGAACACCACGGTGAGTGGGAGGTGGCAGCCGGTGGCTGTCCCCGCAGAGGGCCTCACCTTGGACCCAAGCACAGGCTCCAAGGTGGGGACCGCTTCTGGGTGCCAGGACCCCTGCCCACTGGTCTCTGTGGTTTCAGGTGGCTGTGGCCATGGGCAAGGCCCTCTTGGAGTTTGTGTGGACCCTTCGCTTCCATGGTGACGCGTGAGTGGCCGTCAGGCGGAGGGCAGTGGTCCCACGTGGACACACAGACGGGGTTCCAAATCCTGCTGTGACGTGGACAGCAGGAGGTGGGGGGCGGCTCCCACGTTGGCCTGGCACTTCCTAAGCAGGAAGGGGCAGGGTGGGGTCGAGCATGCTTTGGTTGCGTGTGTGTCTACCGTACCGCGAGGAGAAGTGGGGTCTTCCTGGCCTGGGGCTCCATCAGGACTCCGACTTCTGGCCTCCTTTGTCAGCTATGTGCGCCGGGGCCTGCTGTCCGCGGTCTCCTCTGTCCTGCTCAGCGTTCCGGCCGAGCGACTGCTGGCCGACCTGCCCGATGAGCTGCTGGAAGCCCGGCCCTGGCTGGCCGGTGAGCACCAGGTCCCCAGCCATGTTGGTGAGGCGGGAGGGAGGAGGCTGGTGCAGCCCGGAGGGTCCCCATAGCCGTCAGGGCATGGGGCAGCGAGGACCTGGCTGATGTCGGGTCACTTTGTGGAGGTTCTGCAGGGGGACCCAAGAGAAGGTACCCTAACGTGGGAGATGAGGGCTGTATTTGTTCTGGAAAATTCCAAATCGGCAGTAAGATTACAAGAACCATACAGCAAGCACTGTGTAACCTCACCAGGTTTGCCGATCAGCAATTTTTTTTTAAAGACTTTATTTATTTACTTGACAGAGAGAGATCATAAGTAGGCAGAGAGGCAGGCAGAGAGAGAGGGAGAAGCAGATTCCTCACTGAGCAGAGAGCCCGATGCAGGACTCGATCCCAGGACCCCGGGACCATGACCTGAGCCGAAGGCAGACACTTAACCGACTGAGCCAGCCAGGCGCCCCTGCCGATTAGCATTTTGACAAACTTTGCCCCCCGTCAAGGTTCTTTTTGAAAAGTCTGCTGGAGCCAGCATGACCTCCCACCTATAGGCACTTGAGTTGCCCAGAGCGAGTGCACACCTTTCCACTCTTGGGGCCCACGACTGGGACTCTATGGTCTAATGTGCTGCCATGCTCGGAGGCCCAGGGGTCTGATGACAGCCTTTGTCTTGTCTTTCCGTGGGACCCGGGCTCCAGGCAGGGCCCCTTTCGTCGTGTTGGTTGGTTTGCAGAGCGCCCTTCAGTGTGGCTTCCTCTGATCACATGTGTCGGGACGGCTCAGGGCCTCGTGCTGCAGGCGTGCGGCGTCCCGAGTCCCGGGATGGGTCCCCCTGCCTCCCTGCCACCATCGCCCCAGGGGGAGCGAGGCGTTGCCCCTGCGCAGGGACGGGGGTAAAGGCCTTTGCTGGGGTGTGAGGTGCTGCTATCTCGGGTGGGGGGCAGCCAGGACATGCCGGGCCCGCGGGGGCTCATGCAGGAAGACTTCCCTGACAGAAAACTGTGGAGCGCTGGCCTGCGTGGCTGGGTCACGCTGCCGACGTTCCGCTTTCTCTGGGCCTGGCAGATGTGGCAGAGCAGGACCCCGACGAGGATTGCAGGGTGTTGGCGGTGAAAGCGCTCCTGCTTCTGGAGAAGCTCAGAGACACACTCATCCCGCTGTCATCTCCTTAGTCCCTGTCCGAGAAGGCCCCGCCCCGCTGGAGCTAGCCCGGCCGGCCCGAGGGCTCTGCCAGCAGTCCACGCGAGGGCCTCCAGCGCTGCCCCCATGGACAGGGCCACCTGAACGTGGCCCAGAGGTCCCGAGGAGGGAGGGAGCCACTGGGGCCCCTGCAGGCTGATTCTTAGCCTGTCCCCAAGCCCCTTCCTCACCTGAATGCAGACTTTAAAAAAACACAAAAAGGAAGAATAAAAGGGAGCTGCAGGTACTCAAGCCCGCGCCTCGTGGCTCTTGCTGCTCAGGCAGGGCCCACAGTGCCTCAGTGGGCCCTCCGAAGGGGCACAGGTGTTGGCAGCTGTGGAAGGAGCTGGGGGTGGGAGAGCCCAAGGTCCCCCTCCCTGCCCTGACACGGCCTGAGGCTGGTCCCTCTCCACGGGAGCTGGGGACAGAGCTGTACCCGCAAGGCTGCCTCGTGGAGGAAACCTGCCCTGCACAGGCCACCGTGTCACCTGGGCAAGGCCACCCCCATGTCCATTCCAGTGGACACCAGGCCCTGTGGTCAGGAACGGTGTGTCCTGCTGGAAATCGTGAGTTGTGCTCTCAGGTGCTTGCCTGCATGCTGGGACGAGGTGCGGTGAATATACTAACATGCACAGTCCGTCGAGTTCTAGCGTTTCAGGTTTTACAATCTACTTGGGAGACTGTCATGGAAAAGATGAGCCAACTCCCTTCCTAGTAAAGGGACCGCAGGGGCCAGGAATGCTGGAAGGACACATGATTGCCCCTTCTAAGCAGGACAGCCAGTGCTCTGGGGCATCAAATACCAGTTTATATTGCAACAAGAAAGTCAGGCTCTTGCTACCAACCCCAGAAAGTTCCAGAGGAGCTCGCAGCAGCGGCTATCAGGGGTCGCTCTCCACCTCCTCCAGCACCTCCTCGTCTACTTCCTTGTGGTCCTCCACGCTGTTGTGGCGGACGCACTCAGGCACGGTGCGCACCAGAGGGATGCCCAGGCCCTGGTGGACGGCATCCACGGTCCGCTGGTTCACGTAGTAGGACATGTTGGCAGAGGGCACTCGCTTCCGCATCTCCTCCAGATACTTGTAGGCCTGGGTTGGGACAGCCGTTACCAGGTTAGTGCACAGCAAAAACCAAAGAGCCCACCTTCTGTCCAGGGCAGTGAGTTTCCTGGACACCCACCCCATGCCTTCACAAGAGGGGCCTGGGGACAACTGTCTATGACCACACAGCCTTTCCGAGGGCTGGCGGTGTCCAAAGCTCGGGCTCTGACCGTGCTGTCAGCTGCAGTCAGCACCCCCAGCTGAGTAGGAAAGTCCTGTGAGCAGCCCGGGTTGAAGGACCCGAGTGTTTGGGGGCCACGGTCCCTGGAGGAGACATGAGGGAAGGAGGCATTCACACTGCAGACGGCTTCAGGGTGGCAGGGCAGGCAGCAAATGTACACTGTCCGTCTGGTTTCCTCTGACCAGGCATCAAATCTGCCCCAGCTCGTTGGGCCTAGGGTTAGTCTGAGTCTCTTGTATGTATGGTTCTTGTTCAGAAGCCAGTAAACCACGGAGCTGTCAGTGGTTTTCCTGTGGAACTTCCTCTGGTTCTGCCAGTGGGAATATGTGGGAGAGCCTGGGGTTGAGGGACCTGAGCCTCCCACAAAGCACCACACTTACACCTGCCCACACCTGCCTATGCCTGCCTGTGTCTGCTCTGCCAGCTCACACCTGCCTACACCTGCCTGCACGTGTCCACACCTGTCCATGTCTGCTATACCTGCCCGCACCTAAGCATGAAGAGAAGAATAGGTCTCATGTGGCTTCTAACGCTTACCACCGAGTTCAGATGTGATCAAAATTTCTAAGAGCTTAAAAAAATTTTTTTAGGGGCGCCTGGGTGGCTCAGTCGTTAAGCGTCTGCCTTCGGCTCAGGTCATGGTCCCAGGGTCCTGGGATCGAGCCCCTCATCGGGCTCCCTGCTCCGCGGGAAGCCTGCTTCTCCCTCTCCCACTTCCCCTGCTTGTGTTCCCTCTCTCACTGTGTCTCTCTCTGTCAAATAAAATCTTTAAAAAAAAAAAAAACTTTTTAAAAATAAGGAATGATGATCAGATTTTAGTATTCTTTTTCTTTTTTAAAAAAAAATTATTTGTCAGAGTGTGTGCATGAGCATGAGCAGGGGAAGCTGCAGGCAGAGGGAGAAGCAGACTCCCCACTGAGCAGGGAGCCTGATGTGGGGCTCGATCCCAGGACCCTGAGATCATGACCTGAGCCAAAGGCAGACGCTTAACCATCTGAGCCACCTAGGTGTCCCAGATCTTAGTATTTCTTAAAGATGATAAAATTTCCAGAGCAATTTTAATTTGGGTGGATAGGACTAAGATATAAAAAATAAGACATAAAGGGGCGCCTGGGTGGCTCAGTCAGTTAAGCGTCTGCCTTCGGCTCAGGTCATGATCCCAGGGTCCTGGGATCGAGCCCCACATCGGGCTCCCTGCTCAGTGGGGAATCTGCTTCTCCCTCTCCCTCTGCCGCTCCCCCTGCTTGTGCTCTCTCTCTCTCTGTCAAAGAAGTAAACAAAATCTTTAAAAAAAGATAAAGATGAAAATAAAAAGTAAGCTGTGGTTGTTGGAGGGATGGAGGACGGGCAGAGTGTAAGCTCCCAGGTGCTCTCAAGCGGGGGGGGGGGCACCCACACAGGAGGAGGCTGTGTGCCGTGAGCCCGGCACCGTGCCAGGCACCGGAATACAAGTACAGAGCAGAGGAAGGCCAGGGCTCGGAGCTGTGGGGACTAGACAATCCAGGGGTGGGGTCCAGAAGCAAGGGGCTGCTAGAGACCATGGTGCAGGGGTGCACCCCCTCTGTGTACAGAGCTGGTTTCTCAGCAGTCAAGGCAGCAGTTTCCAGAAGGAAGGCATGGTCACCAGACACAGATGAAGGGTGACAAAGACAGAAGTGCTCCAGGCCGTCCTGGCCAATGAGGACGCCCACTGTCCAGGGTGAGGGGCGGCTGGCGCGGCGGCGAGGCGAGTGCAAGGGAGCAGTGGGAGACACGGAGCAGGGACAGGGGCCTTCTCTCCCCACCAGAGGATGCTTAGCCTGCCTACCTCCTCACCACTCACAGGGCTGTTTCTTTTAAGTTAAAGTTGCTAAATCCCATAGGCTCCAAACAAGGGTTGAGAAAGCAAAGAATCTGGTGAAATCATTAAGAGTGATTTTTGAGCAAACGGTAGTTGAGCAGTCGTCTGAGTCCGATTTTGTGTTTCTTCTCCAAAAAAGAAGGAACCTTGCTGAGAGGAGATTTGGAGTTGCTCCAGCAGAGGGTCAGCGAGTGGACATGGGCGGGGATAAAGAGGGGGCAAGCAGGAGGCCAGGGACCTGAGTGTCAATTGCGGCGCTGACCTTCGGGCTGTGGGAGAAGGTCACAGGCTGAGGTCCTGTGCGCTCCGGACGCTAAGGCCCAATGCCACAGGCACGGCTCACTAGCGACATTTCTGAAATTGATTCATCGTTAGTCACGTAAGCGCTCAGGAGAGCAAGGTGAAAGGCTCCCTGGGGTCGCCCTGGTCTCTCCAGGAACCATCTACTCTATTAACTACGAGCGATGCCCACAGGACACCCTCGAAACACAAAGGAAAACTGCAGCCGGAGGGCAGGGGGGCTTCTAGTGTTGGTAACAAGAGGATGGTGAATGGGGAGAGAGGCTTCTGGTGGGGGCAGAGGGACTGGCACGGAGCAGCCCTCCTCCATGCAGGGGTGCACCGGGCAGACTGCACAGGCCCCTGAAGGGAGAACCAGCCTCGGGCAGGCAGATGGCAGGGAGCCAACACTGGGAAGCAGGGAGGAGCCGGGGTGGGGTGAGTTCCTGCTCCCTGTAGCCTTTGCCTGAGGGGAGGCCCAGTCAGGGCCACTGGGGTAAGCAGACCGGCACGTAGAAAATCCACCCTTACTGGCTTGAAGACCCGGAATCAGAATTGGGGTCAACCACAGCAGCCGGAAATGAGGAGACATCGGAAAAGAGAGAGTCCCGGAGGGGAGCCCATGCCCTGGGAATGGACGCTGCTCTCTGGTCCCCTCAGCACGCTGCATGTGGTGGGAACAGGGGCCGACTTCAAGCCTGGCCCAAGCTAAAGAAGTACTGAGCAGCAACTCCCTCTCAAGGCTGCCTGCCATGGTGGGGAGCCAAGCCTCTGAGATGGGTGGAGGGAAGTTGCTGGAAGGAAGGAAGGAAGGGAGAAGAAACAAACAAGCATACTCTTCGGAGGAACATCACAGAACCCAGTCTCTACCGTGGTTTAGCCACGGTGTCTGGGACACAAAAGAATCTCTAGACCTAAGAAGCAACAGGACAATATGACCTACACTCGAGAGACAAGATGGATGACGGAGACTACCTGATGCAATCCAGAGGCTACTAGAGGGGCAAATTATGCCGGCTGAAATGTAGGGATAGGAGCAGCATCAGAGCAGACACTGCACAAGACGGGTGAACTTGAAGCAGTAGCAATAGCAAAAGCAAAAGCCAAAAATGAAAACTAGAGAAAATTCTGGAAAAAAAGAGAGAGAGAAGAGAATCAGTTGAGCCAGGAGACAATCTACACAAGCAATTGGAGTTCCATCAGGAGAGGACAGAGGGATAGGAGGGAACTTCCCACAGACGGGAGAAAACACTGGCAGGTCATACGCTGGTACAGGAAAGGCGCCTAGAAGTCATAAAGGCCACAACCAACGTCAGAAGACAAACACTGAACAAAACCATGGGGGAGGATTTGGGCACTCAGAGGACACGAGCCCATGAGAAGGGGCTCAACACCGCTAGTCACCGAGAGAAGGTGCATTAAAACCACAAAGAGCTACCGCTCTGTACCCACTGGGATGGTGGGCATTAAAGACCCATCATACCAAGTGTGGGCGGAGATGAGGAAGCACACGGGTGCAGGGTGTGAGCTAAACGCGTCCCTTCTGCTCCAAACACCATCTTTATTTGTAAATGTGACTCATGGTAAGTTGTGGCTACTCAGGGCTGGGTATGTGGCACTTTTTCTCAGAAGTGAACAAAGGGGGCCACCACTTCAAGGAAAATGGTAATGGACAGTGTTTGTGCTCAGGATAAATCATGGAAGGATTTCAGAAACCTTAGGTATCAGCCACCATGAGCTGGACATCTAAAGACTTTTCTTTCTTTTTTTTAAAGATTTTATTTATTTGAGAGAGAGAGAATGAGATAGAGCATGAGAGGGTCAGAGGGAGAAGCAGACTCCCTGCTCAGCAGGGAGCCCGATGCAGGACTCGATCCCGGGACTCCAGGATCATGACCTGCGCCGAAGGCAGTTGCTTAACCAACGGAGCCACCCAGGCGCCCCCTAAAGACTTTTCTGATGGGGCTGGTGGTGATACCAAAAAATAGAATTTTTTGATTCGTATAATGAAACGTGTTGACATTTGCTAACTCAGTGAACCCATAATTTCCAGATGAGCAACATGATGTTATAAAATCATGTGTATGTGAAAGATCTAAGACGTACCAGTGGGCTTTCATGTCACCAAGTACAATAGCATCCAACCTCGCAGCTAGGTGTTAAACCCCACTTGCTGAGTTTTGGTGTAGGCTCAAAGGTGGGCTGCAACTGTCTGAGGGTCCTGCCTCTCTCACCTGCATACTAGTGTGAGGCCATATTTTCTTCATGTATTTCAGCTAAAAAACCCATTTTACCAAATTGAGAGCAGAAGCAAAAATGGAGAGTCCAGCTGTCATCCAAGACATTAAAGAGACCTGGAAATGTGTAAAACAGTGCTACTTTTCCCACTCAATTTCTCTGTTTTGGAAAATACAGAAAATATAAAAAAGTTGTTTTAATGAAACTGTTATTTATGTCAACATATAATGTGGGTTTATTTTATTTTTCAGTGAGTTAGTTTTATTCTGTAACACAATAAAGAGCGTCAGGTCACCCCACACGGATAACTTCCCTAGTGTAAAGGGGTCCTGAGACCAAAATGTTTGAGAACCACTCTGCTGAAATGAATCATCGAAATCCTTCCACAAAGAAAGCCCCAGGCCCAGGTTAGCTCACTCATGCACTCTATCAGACACTGAAGGAAGAAGCAACAGCAGTCTTTTGTAAACTCTTTCAGAGAATACAGGAGGTGGCCAGAATATAAGGCCAGAATAACCTTGACACCAACTACGAAGGAGACACTACAAGAAAGAAACTAAAGAAAAGTCTGGGGGCGCCTGGGTGGCTCAGTCGTTAAGCCTCTGCCTTCAGCTCAGCTCACAATCCCAGAGTCCTGGGATCGAGCCCCGCATCAGGCTCCCTGCTCCGCGCAATGCCTGCTTCTCCCTCTCCTGCTCCCCCTGCTTGTGTTCCCTCTCTCGCTGTGTCTCTCTCTGTCAAATAAATGAATAGAATCTTAAAAAAAAAAAAAAAAAAGGAAAAGTCTGACAGTTTCTGAAAATGTGAAACGCGCTGGCTGTATGACCCCGCGTCCCACCCCTAGGTGTCCAACCAAGTGTTAGTGAACTGAGGGGGAAGGGCAGGACCCCTGCAATTCGCATATCGCTCAGAAATATACCCACTTTATGTATAAAATATCAAATAGAAATATGAATACATATAGAATGAATAAGTAAATGTGGCAAAATGCTGAAAACTGCTGAAACTGGTAAAGGGTACATGCAGGTTCTATTATTCTTGCAGCTTCTCAGTTTGAAATCATTTCAAAAGAAAAAAAGGCTAAAAAGTCAAACACTGAGACAGGAGAAGCACCTCCTTGCCATGAGCTCGCAGCTCCCTGGGGTGGAGAGAGTGGGCACCGCCAGTGGCAGCGGCGGGGCCTCCCCCCAGTCATCCCCAAGCCCCGCCAAGGCCTCACCATCTGGAAGTCCTCAGCCTGCAGGTAGTGCTGCACCAGGAAGCCACAGACGTCCCCGACACGGATGGTGCTCTCCAGCCCTGGCTCCTCCAGGAGCAGCCCGCACTGCCTGACCGCCTCCTTGGGGTCCTCGGTGTATGTCCTGCCAAGAGCAGAACCCCACTACAGGTCAGGGGGCACAGCAGGCTTGCAGCCTGAATGAGGAGCTCCTGGCATTGGCAGGACGGAACTTTTGTGAAGTTAACGCCCGTGAATTAAACAAATTCCCTAATGAGTTCATTCATAAACTGGCTGATTCATTGATAAAAACTTACTGGTCGCTCACAGTCCTGGTACCACGCCAGACTCAGCCTGTCACCCAGTCCTTGCCTGGTTACCAGTCTGGAGGGGGTCACTGTGATGCAGGGGGACGTGGGGTGCCCTGCCCGAGGCGGTCAGGCAGGGGGTGAGCATGAGCGAAGGCCAGTGGCAGGGACACACTCCAAAGGGCGCGTGCGCCGGTCTGCTGCAGGGCTGGGGGTGGTGTGCGAGCGAGTGAGCGGGAGAGGGACCCGGCGGGGCCTTAGGGGGAGGAGGGGCTCAGGCTCCCGCTCTAGGAGGCCCGGTCCTGACGCTGCATGTTCCTTGCTGCACATTGCCGCCCCCCCCGCCCCCGCCGCACTGCAGCCCAGGCTCAGCAGGTCAGCAGATATTCCAGAATTTACATGTCCGAGCAGGGAGCCGCATTTTATACAACAGTGCTCAAAGTGTTTCTGGAACTTCTCTTCTAAAAGCTTGTTCTCAGAGAAGGAAAATGCTTTCATTGGTTTAGGAAGAAACTTAGCTTGGCTGCCCACACAGCAGGCTCTTGGAAAAGCTGGACGAGTTGCCAATAGATAAAAACTGGCCTCATGTCCAAATTTAGATGCATGGTCTCTCCTAAAAATAGCAAAAACATGCTGCCCCCTGCCTCCTTCCTACAGTCTCTGTGGCCCCCAGGTGGTATAGTGGCCGGCCTGCTCCAAACCACTGAGCTTGAGCCCTGCACACACCTGAGCAGGTCCCAGGCTCCCCTCAGACACATGCTCTCCTGACCTGCATCTGCCTCACCACCCCCACCCCAGACTTCTGTTTTTTTCTGAACAGTCTTCCTGGCGGTGCGCCCAGGTTTGGGGAATTCCCCAGGAGGAGCTCATGGAGAAGGAGGCAACATAATGTCCACATGTCCTACTTAGGGTCCACGGGACTCCTCTGAGACTCCTCTGCACTTGCTCACTGCAAGTGAAACTGGGTCTGCTCCCCGGCAGGGAGAGGAGCCTGGGGCCTGGGGGGCTCTGTGTCCCTGCTTCCCCGCTCTGTTGTGGACACACCTTTGGGCCTGGATGAACCGCTTCACCAGTGTCATCTTGCTCTGCAGCTGAGCCAGCTTGGTCTCCTGATCCAGGGGGCTCTTGGCCTTAGCCTTGGACAGGCACTTGTAGGCCTCTGTCAGTGCCCCGTGGGCTTTGTCGTAGTTCTGGTACTCATCGATCTCCACCTGCATGGATGAGACCCGTCAGGGCCCCTGGGGCCCCACCACCCTCCTGGGGGTCCTGGCCCTGGGAGGAGGGTCCGTACCTGGGCACAGGCATCATAAAAGCCGGCCAGCAGGTCGAGGGCCCGCCCCTTGGTGTAGAAGCTGATGATGTTCTTCATGATCTCTGGCTCCTTCCGCCAGTCCAGGGACTGCAGGTAGTTGGCAGCCATGATGTAGATTTCCTTTTGCCTCGAGACGCCCGCAAAGAACACGATTTTCTCCGTGTCCCCAGACTTCAGCAGCGCTCTCATGGCCTACACGAAGGGCGAGCCCGAGGAAGGGCCCGAGGAAGGGCGCGGGCTGGGCTTGGAGCTTGAGCTTGCCGTGTCCCTCCTGCCACCTCTCCCCAGATGCTCACGCAGGACTCCACCACAAGAGGGAGCTCAGGGCTCCTCTGTCCCACAGGGCCCTGGGAAGCCCAGGCTGGGAAAGCACATCCCCGGAGGGTTAACCCAAGCAGTGGGGACGCCGTTTCCAGCCCGGGCCCACGCTCACCTTCAGCTTGTTCCCCGCCTGCGTGTACTTCTTGGTGGCCAGGTGGTAGTTGCCCTGGCGCATGCAGCAGTTGGCGATCTGCTCCAGCAGCTGGCGCCGAGACTCTTCCGACAGGTCCTTGGAGTCCTTGGACACGGTCATCTTCTCGGCCATCTCCTCGGTGATGGTCATGTTCTGCTCCAGGCAAAGCTGCAGGGCTTCGTGGTACTGCAAGGCGCCACAGAGTGGGAAGGGGCGGTTAGCGCCGGGCTGCAAGAGGAGGCCCGGCCCATGGCCGGGGGGTGGGCGCCAGGGCAGGGACGGGACGCGCTTGCCGGGCATGGACCAGCACTCGTCCCCGTGACTCTCACACTGCTGACACCCCGAATTGCAACGAGGGGAATGTGGAGCTCAAAAGACTACTGCATTGGTTGTGGGAGGAAAAGAAACCAGAACTTAATTTTCTTCTATAATTCGTTTCAAATTTTTAAGCTAAGGGTTTTGATTAATCTTGAAAACTGAAGGGAAATCGTATGCCCTTCACTTAAGAATGGGTCTTGGACAGAAAGCGTATGTCTTGGAGGTGGTTCCATCTCCGTCCGCAACACTGTCGTCTTGGGAGGCGGCTCTTTACTGGGGGACAGCGGTGTGTGGGTGCCTCTCCCGTGTGCACAGTTGTGCTGAGGATGGATCCCAAGGACGGGAAGCGCTGGGTCAAGGGGCCTGTGAGTTCTACTGCAGAGGGGTACTGCCTGCTGCACTCACACCCAGCCCGAGTGGGTCTGCTAACCTCTTCACCTGCACTGGCCTGACTCAGGACAATGGGATCTTTGTGAGTCTTCATCTGTTATTTCTCTCATTATGGATGAGGCTGAGTATCTGGTGTGCTGGGACCACCCACATTTCCTTCTTCAAAGAAACTGTCCATATAGTCTTTGTTCTTTCCTTTTGAGTGGCTGGCAAATTTCTTCCTGGTTCATAGGAACTCCATACCTATCAGGAAAATTACACTTCGGGATAGAGGTAGGATATATTTTTTCCCCCATTTTATTATTTATCTTTACTTTCTTGTGTTTTTTCCATGTGCTATTTTCAGATTTACATTTGGCTGAATGGATCAGTCCTTCCCATTGGCATTTGGGTTTTGAATCGTACTTAGAAGATGCCTTTCTTCTCTTTAGATTGTACAATATATCCGTGGTTTCCGATGGAGTGGCGGCTGGTTTTGCTGACACACGCCTCAGACCCACCTGGAATTTACTAGGACGCAGGAGATAAGTAGGGCTTACCTTTGTGTTTTCCCAAGCAGCTGCCTGGTTGCATCGACCCCCTTTATTGGATGGCTCATCTTTTGCCCACTGCTAGGAAATGTTCCTCTGTATGTATGAGATGAGCATGTGTAAGTGGCTCTATGTCTGGATTTTCGAATATTTTCTGCTGATCTGTAGGCCTGATCATGCACTGGACCCCAGTTATCCTACCTGTCATATATTTTTACAATCTGAGGGCTTAATCACCTCTTGGTACTCTTCTTCCAGATTTTTCCTGGCTCTTCTGGTGTTTTCACTGCGAAACTACAGAATCCACTTATCTGGCTAGAGAAAGCCCAGTGGTGTTTCTCCTGGGGTCAGTTTAGGTCTGGGGCTGCCTTGGGGAGGGTGGACACGTGCATCTGCTGGGTCTTTCTAGAACATGTGCTCAAGAATTCTTGTGTCGCTCACCAGTGAGCCACTCAACTGAAAGCATAATTCTGCTTCAGGAAAAAAGATCTTTCAATTTGGACAGGCTAATTTTACACGACTAACAATTTTCTATGTCTCCATTCAGTGGCTATCAGAGAGAATATTTCTACTTAAAGAATGTCAGGCTTCTACTGAGCACTAGAAACAGTGCTGGCGAGGACGTGGTGGCATCGGAACGCTGTGCGCGGCTGGGTGGATGTGCTCTGGGGCAGCCGTGTGGGAGGGCGTCTGGAGGTCCCTCAAACAACTAGAATAGTTACCAGATGATCTGGCAATTCGAGTTCTGGGTAAACACCTGAAAGAACTGAAAGCAGAGTTCTGAAGAGATAATGTGTTCACCCGTGTTCACAGTAGCGCTATTCACAAGAGCCAAGAGATGGAGGCCACCCAGTGTCTGTGGATGAGCAGAACTGAGGCAGTGTGCACACGAATGCAGCATCACACAGCCCTAAAACGGAAGGACATTCTGGGGCGCCTGGGTGGCTGTTGGCTAGGTGTCCGACTCTCGGTTTTGTCTCAGGTCATGATCTCAGGGTCATGAGATCTAGCCCTGCATCAGGCTCTGTGCTCAGCACTGAGTCTGCCTGAGATTCTCTGTCCCTCTCCCTCGGCCCCTCCCACTTGTGTGCATGCATTCTCTCTAAAATAAATAAATAAATCTTTTTTTTTT